CGGCTTGAATGGGTAATGAAGAAAAACTTTAATATAAGTTTAACATAACAGCAAATGTACAACGTTATGCTGTTATGTTAAACTTATATTAAAGTTTTTCTTCATTACCCATTCAAGCCGTCTCCAACCATTATCATCAGTCTGCTATCTTTGCCATTGATATTTCACATACTCTGTTCTATTCCACATATGTACTCTTTATCTGGATTGTTCTTTCCTACTTCAGGGGCTCATGAGGGACATTTTTCGTGATTTACTTTCCCTCCATTTCCCACCTTTATTCCTAGTCTGATCCAGATAGGTTTATTTGTCTTGTTCATGCTCTTCAGTGTTACATTGCTTGCATGGCCTTCTTCTGTGGTTTCCCTGGTAACTTTCCTCTATACATGACATTTCTCCTTCTACCCTTAAAGTTTTTATGTCTTATTTTTCCATATAGTGGCATGTCCCACTCAATGGCGAGCATTGTCTGTCCAGATATACTACCTATCTCTCAAATTCTGCAATATACGGCTATCAATATGTCATATTAGGGTACATTATATCCCACCTAATGACTCTGTGGCTCCACTTCTATGCGGTGGGTCACAGGGGTTGATATTGTGTGATCCCAAGTCAAATCGTTTTGCAGACAGTGGTTCCTTGGGTCATTCTGATGGTGATTCCTTTAAAAATACCTCTGTGCAGTCTTATCTGGGGCTGATGTTGCACTTATTACTCACAGCTACTCCTGTCGCTCCACCTTTATGGCATTGGGTCCGGGTGAAGTATAATGTTGAGCAGGATAGCTTGGCAAGGGTTGTATGGGACATTCCACTGAAGTTGTCCTTGGCCAATGGAAGACTCCAACATTCTCGATGAATACCCATGGCCAATAACACACACTGCTGAGATAGGGTGCTCCACACGATCGCTAGTAGGTTTTCTTCAGGATATCTTTTCTTCATTAATATGCCCGTTCCGGAGCATACGAACTCATGGACTTTAATTGGTAAAGCTTAAGGGGATAGCTGTCCATTCTTGCCATTCCTTCAATTGAATATATCAGGGACAGTCTGCTTTTCAAAATAGGGATTTCATGGGCACCTATTGCACTGTATCCAGTGTCTGCATTCCTCCAGACTCACCAAAGTGTTTTGTCCCCTCTTGCTCTTCTAGCTGAGTTTAAGAGTCATGGCCACTTTCCAGTTCTGAGCTGCTGGGGTGGTGGACCTTGAAGGAGTCCTCTTGACTGTGATATTTTCACTTCAGTTGAGAGTAGGGTGGTGGTTTTCTGTCAGTGTAGACGGCTTTCAATCCTCATATTACGTGCTCGACCTCCATGCAGTGGGTCCCAGAGGTTGATTATGTATCCAGCTACAATGCAGTTCTATCTGGAGGGTAAGTTTTGCATATATTTTATAGAAGTGATCCATTTCCATGCAGTGGGACCTGGTGGTTGGCATTGTGCTCCAATGCACCCAAGCCATTCTACATCATGGGACACATCCGTTTTTAGTTTTTTTGGATGTGCATCTCCTACTTTCTGCCTGTGTATGTGACACCTATTTCCACACTGAAGGAAGAGTGTACCTGGAACAGAAGTGGTGCAGTGTCCAACCTTTGTTCCCTTCCCCACTAAGAGTCAAACCTCAAAGATGTTCTTTGGACTCTATCGAAGGATACTTCTTTATATTCCTCACACGGGTCCCTTCACCTCTTCAATGTGGGATTCTAGCATTACATGTGAGGTAAGATACTGTATCGAAATTAATTTTTTTCTTACTCTAAAAATATATTTCCAATAGGTACTTAACTCTTTTCACACTTCCTACCCTTCCTCACCACTTAAAACTGGTACTTTCTTTCTGCTTAATCTCGAAATGATATTTTGGTAGAATCAAATAGAGGGAGTCATGTGTCAGGAGGGTGTGTTGTGCTCCTATTGGTTGAGGGTTGTTTCATGATAATTTACATGGGAAGGTGCAGTGAACCACGTTAATCATGAAGTAAGTGGGAGTTCAAGGCTTGTGGCATGCGAAAAAAAGTTTATGCATATAGGGACAGCACTGAACAAGAATAGGAAAATAATAACTTCAGACAAATATGTTAAGAAATACTTTATTAAAAATTCTGATTTTTTTTTATGTACAAAAAATTGTAATGTATTCCAAAAGTTTGTCAAATTTCATGAAGATATACATGGAACATTTAAAGCCAGATATGATACAAATAGTTTCTTAGTTGTGTGGTGGTTACAAGGACAGTCAAAAGAGTTAATAATATTCACATGCCAATCTAAAAAAAAAATTAATGGTTTTACTTGATGTATTATTAAGTGAAAGCTGTATGTTGTACAAAGTTGTACTTTTAAGTATATTGGAAAATGAAAAATACACTGCTCCCATCAAAGTTTAGCTACTGAAAAATTTAACATGTTTACAACATAAATTCATATAGCTGAACATTATAAGAAATATATACTTTGATTCAATATGTATCTTTGTGTTTTTTGGCCCATATTTATGGTTATAGTAATAGTATTGTGTTTTTTTAATTATTGTTTTAAGTCTTGATGGAATACTTCCTTAAAGAAGATAGTTTAATAGGAGCAATTTTAGCACTGAAGCTCCTTAATATTGCCTCCACAGACAAGACTCGTCAGAAGCACTAATGCATGATTGACATTGGATTTTCAGCCAAAGTTAGCTGTTCATCAGCTGAAAGTTGCTAAAGAGATTACAGACAAATTAGTGTTGAAACTAAAAGTTGAGGCACGGTATGGCCAGGTGGTTAGGGCACTCGACTCCCAATCTGATGGTCGCGGGTTCGAATCCCCGTCACACCAAACATGCTCGCCCTTTCAGCCGTGGGGGCGTTATAATGTGATGGTCAATCCCACTATTCGTTGGTAAAAGAGTAGCCCAAGAGTTGGCGGTGGGTGGTGATGACTAGCTGCCTTCCCTCTAGTTTTACACTGCTAAATTAGGGACGGCTAGCGCAGATAGCCCTCGTGTAGCTTTGTGCGAAATTCAAAAACAAACAAACTAAAAGTTGATTTCAAATGTTTTTTGGTAACACTAGTCAATAAACTTCTGAAGAAGGCTCATATCAAGTATCCCATGTCTGAAATATGAAGTGTCATGATCCATGATTGATGGTGGTCAACAAGGAAGAACATGTGCAGAAAATGATGGAGAGTCCTGCATGTACTTGTTGCTGCAAACCACATCAAGAAGTCTGTGATGATGCACAGAGGGAGTAAAGGGAGTTTTGTCACTATTCACTGCACACTAATGGTTTCTGAGATTTTGATTCATCCTGTAGGCTTGATATCTTGGTTAAACACATGGGCCTCAAGCCAGTCTTGTTTCTTCTGTCACCTGGTCAGTCTAGTATTGAAAGAAGGTTGGTTGCTAGAGCAATCACTGGTGGCATAAAGAGTCATTGCTGATCATTAAAACTGTTAGAGGAGTTACAAATATAGAGATGACAAAAGATCTTTTGATGTCAGCCACAAGAGCCAGATAGAAATATCATGCCTATCTTGGCAAGCAAAATTACTGAAAAACAGCAACTTGTGGGCATGTAAAGGAACTCTTTGATGGATGAGGATGGAAACTTAAAAAAGAAGAAAATGAGCAAATGCCGATGTGAAAGCATTGCTACAATCTACAGATTAATGGGCTGAAAGAGCTGAATCATTTCAGCAACTTTTGTCATAAAGTCAAGTAGTCTGCAATACACTGATGATTAGAAATAATAATGTCTACAGGATATAAAAAAACTCAGAATTGCAAAGTGAATCCCTTTTTTATTATTATTTAAAAACAGGTAGAAAGTTTGGGTTTACCCCACATGGGAATGTGGTACCATGGGTACTCCAGCCCTAGAATTGGGAACCTCTGGATTAGAAGAGAAGCAACAGTTGTGTTTTGCACTATGCTGGTTACAAAAGGAATGTTTATCTTCTTTTTTTTTGTTTTTTGTGTTTGTTAAAGTGTGCAGAAGGTGCTTGAAAACTGCAATCTCAGCCTTTGTGTCTGCATTACTGTTTAGGTCAAAACACTACTACACTCAATTTTTCTTGTAATTTCTACAGTTCCTTTATATAAACTATTTTCAACAGCATAATTCATAATCACAGAGTTAAAAAAAAAAAGGTTCTTGTTGAAAAAAACTGCTTTAAAGGGGTTTAAAAAATATTTTTTTTGTAAGTATCTTTCCTGACATGGTTTTTTAGAATGTTTTACACAACACTTCATGCATCTTGTACAAATAATGCTTTGTAGTGCTGAAAATTAAACTTAATAGTAGTGCAGTATTTATTAGTGTACCTACATTTAATTTTATTAAAATATTGAATAACATTTCTAACCACGTTTTTATATTTTAAACAAGTATTTCTTTCATGAAGTCTTATTGTTGTTGATACATTGCTAAAGGAATATTTGTCTGGATTAACTGTTACAATATGGTTATTGTCTAAGAATACAGTACAAAACAATTAGTTGATCAGTAAAAACATAAGGTTTGTGAATCATGGAAATTTAATTAAATGTGATGTAAGAGTTTTGGGAAATATATTATTAATGAAAGGAAACAAACTTGTACTAAGTCATCACTTACAAAAGATGTATCAATTTTTCTTTTAGAGATTTTTTTACCCATCACACAGTACAAGTTTATGTTTCCAAGAAACTATTATTTCTTGAAAACATAATGATTCATGTTTTGTTTTTCACAATTATTATGATAGTGATGCATCAGGTATATTCATTTATATTATTTATATCTCCAGGAACAGAAGAAGCTGATTTGTTTGAAGAAGGATTTTCACACACAATTTTTGAATATAGTGTTATAAAAGAGGAGCGAGAAGAGAACTATGATGAAGTATCAGAGAAAATGGAGGTAATCTAGAGATTAAAAACCTTTCCAGTTTTCTTAATAGAGTAAATTGATTAAGTATTTATAGTGATATCTTTATGATGATCATTTGCTTGGAGTTGAGTTTGTTGTGAAAATAAGTTTTATAAATCTTTTATGAAAATAAAGCATTTAGTTGGAAAGTAAATTTTGTCATTCTGTTTTGTTTTTTCCCATATGTTTTTATGATGCATTAAAAAATACTATGTCAGATCAGCCATAGCGTTATGAATATGTGATGATTTTTCTGTGTTTGTATGAGTTCTAGACACGAATCTTATACATCTGTTACGTATCTGGTCGTTTGATAATTTCCCGTAAAAATTCTTTCCGAGAAACTTCAGCAATACAAGTCTTTTCTTAATTAAAACTAGTTTATTATTTCTCGATACAACTTTATAATACACAGAAGTTCCACAATCACTTTACTTACAATCATAGCGATTTACACACTTTACTTACAATCACTACCGCTCACTTGACTCAATTATCTGTCTCTATCTCCACTTTATTTGCCGGCCTTATATACTAAAATAGAGGGGTGCCTAGAAAAGACTAGAGTTGCCAGGAACAGTCATAATCCTTCTAGAAACTCCAGCGCTTATGCTTCCAGCGTCACGTGACTTCCGCTGTCGTAAAACATCTTATTGTTGGTTGTTTCAATAAGGTAATGCTATAGAAATAGTAAAAAATATAATCATTTTATGTTAAAATTAAGAAATACTAATATAACCTATTCGTATATTTTGTTTTGTGATTAATGAGGCTTCTAATCAATAATAAGCTTGAAAGCTACACACTGTACTAAGCTTAAACACATTGTAATGTATTAACCCTATCAAAACCATTGAGTATCTTTCAATTGTCTAATACACACAGTATAAATAATAATACTAATTCTATTTTATCAATTCTGAACTCATGAATATTTTAGAATTGCTATTTTGTCATTATGTAACATTTGGTTAGTACACTTTTGAAAGAAAAATATAAAAAAATGTTCCAATTTACACTGCTGCTCAGGTAACAAGAAGTGGTGCCTGTAAACAACTCATTTATGAACTTTATTTTAGAATTTTCTTATTCATCCCACTGTATAAATTTATATTTGCAACGAAACTATTATTCTTTAGAATAATTATTCATGTCTTATTTCTCACATGTTTTCCTTCTCTGTTTACTATTTCCATATGGAGTCAGTTGATATGACTGACCTTGTAACTCTAAAGTAACCGTCAGAGCTTCCATTCTATAACTTCTAGTAAGTTTTGTGTGGCTTCCCTGCATTTTTGATGTTTCACTTAAAGATAATGAAAAATATAATAACAAACCCATTGTTTAATTCTCAATATCTCTATCAAGCTTCAGTATGTTCATTATTAAGTTGTTGAAATATCAAAATAATGATAAGTAACAAGCAGTACCAAGCCTTTTTTCAGCTTACGTTAGGCATGTAACTTTTTATCTTATCTTTAACATTTATACTCACAGACTGTCACTCTTAATGCTCTCCGAGTACAAAATACATAATGGTTGTTCAAAAGGTATATGTATATTTAATATTTTTTAATACTTGAACTTTAATCTGAAAGGTACTTCATTTATTTATCTGACACAAATATTTGAATTACAAATTCACCAATCAAAGCCTTTAAAATTCAGTTAAGCTCATCCATGTGATTCTCATGAGAATAAATTTGAAACTGAATGACAAAATATACAACTCCCTGTATGGAAAACAAGGTAATATAAGACGTAATTTGGTAGATTAAAACTTTTACTTTCTATTGGTTATAGCTGATATAGTATAAAACTTCAGAAGGAATTATTGGTAATTTGTGAAAGAGAGGAAGTCACAAGTGAGCAGGACAAGTAGGTCTGATTTTCTAGTTTATGACTACAAAACAAAGAAATTGAAGGCTATAGAAAATAAACTTTGCCTTAGAAACATTTATATTATAATTATTAAATGATATTAAATTCCATACTTCAGAGAGCGGTTTTAAATAAATTAGAGAAGGGGATGACCTAGAGAAGAAATGTCATGGTTCTTATACTAGGGGAAATTGGGGATTTGTTTAATATTAGCTTATAAAATTAAGAATTTAAAACTTGCATAATATTAAAACTTTATATGAACTTTTTTTTATATACATTGATAATAAGGTAGTCTAATTATATTTCAAATGTAATTCTGTACTTTTACCTACCTGTTGCGAGAGGGTTAATGGTTTATAGTTCTGTTTTGTCACCCTTTCCTGATTTCACAGCTTGTGCTGTAGGTGATTTCTGTTTACTCATATTCACAAGATCTTTGGCAGTGTTTTTTATTAGAGGTTTCATTGTTGATTAAGAACTTATTATGGTTTTATGATCTTGTTTTGCTTGTACTCATTACATCTACTCTTACTTACAGTGAAGCATTCCTCTGTGAATTAACAGGAAGTTTATGGACTTCTTTTGCTGAAATTTTGGGTTTAGTTATCAATGGTGGATAGAACACAGATGGCCTACTGTGCAACTCTGTCTGAAATTAAAAAAAATTTTAGGCTGCCTAGTGTGGATGTAAGCATGGTGGGTCAATATGACTCACTCATTGACTTTTTCTGGATGACTCCCCCATGGGGACTTTTGAGGGTCATATCAGAATTTTGTTTATGTATGGATCCATTGCTTCATGTGTCTTATGTTCATCACATCCTAGATTCCAACAACTAGTAATAAACTCAAGTTAAACTATACACAGTTAAATATAATCCAAAACAATTTTAAAAAAGATCGAATAAACCAATGGGCTTGGTGTGGCATTAATAGTTAGCATGTTGGATGGCTGATCTAAAGAATTCACAACATAATGCTGACAAACATGTTCCACACTTTCATCTTGGGTACATTATAAAAGTAGCTGTCAATCTCCCTACTTTCTTCACAGATCTGGACGAAACCCTTGTGGCAGCATGTGTTGCTAGCTGTATTATCACTGGTCATTAGTTCATAATTATGGATGACTATACCTGAATATTAGGGGTCTATGATCTTGCCATTTAGACCACATTCATATGAAGTGCTTTTTAAGTGGAAAAATTTCATTTCCAAATAAACTAAGTAGAATAAAAATAATATAAAAATTAAAGAGATTTGTATGTGGTTCACAAAACCAAATAATTAAGTAAATTTGACTGTGAATCAAAATACGATTATAGAATAAGCAGAACTGAAATCGTGGTTCAAACTAAATAAAAAGTGAATAAAACTGAAGTGAATTCAAAATTGTCCCAAGACAATAGGGAATTTAACTGAAAATACAAAACGTGTGGTGGTCAATTATATATTTAAATGAAACCCAATTAAAATGTAAGTCTTGTGCACATCATATAATAAAACTGAAGTCACTTAAAGGTAAAAAATAAACTAAAAGCAAATATAACCTTATGAATCACATAATGAACTGAAAAACAAGAAAAACTTATCTAACAACTTGGAGTGCAAAATAAGTTTATAAAATAAATTATTAAAACTAAATTCAAAATAAACCAGTGTATTACTAGAAATTACAAAAAGTTAAACCAAAATAAATTGATCTAAATGAAAGCTTAACATATACTTTGAGGTACACTGATTTTATATAGACACGACATAGAACACTACATCTTCAGACATTCTCCTATCAATAGAGATTTTCTTTGGTATTGTAAAGATCTTCCTTCAGGTGGGAATTCTCATTTTGGACAGTGCATTCACTATTCTCATGACTGGCCTATGCATGTCCATCAGATGGTTCAAATCCCCGTCACACCAAACATGCTCACCCTTTCAGCCATGGGGGCATTATAACGTGATGGTCAATCCCACTATTCATTGGTAAAAGAGTAGCCCAAGAGTTGGTGGTGGTTGATGATGACTAGCTGCCTTCCCTCTAGTCTTGCACTGCTAAATTAGGGACGGCTAGCGCAGATAGCCCTCATATAGCTTTGCGCGAAATTCATAACAAACAAACACTAAAGAATAATAACATGCAAAAAGCCATAACTATCACAATTTGGTGCATTATTTAATTAAATAAAAATCATTTAGTACATTACTACCATTAGTATAAAAAGTACAGTTAAGTTTTGTTGACAGTCAACAGCAAGAAAAAAAAGGAGATTCAGGTAAGTAATTTATTTAATGTTTTTCATGTTTATTCTTTATTTATTATTATAAAAGTAATTAAAATGTAAAAATAGGAATCTCTTTAGGTTAGTTAAGGTTAGATTAGGTAAAATAAATGATAATATAATAAAAGTGTTTCACAAGGCACACAAATGAGCAGTTTGTGAGCAATGCAATTCAATAGTGAGCTGCACATTCCCCAAGTGATTTACAACTTATAATGGTGTGAATAGTAGTTAGACTTGGTTAAAAGGTCAATAATACAGTCAAATTTAATCATAAATAGAGGTATACTGTTATCAGTTTAAAGCTACTTAGGATAAACGAATAAAGTTTCATGTTACAATTTGAAGTCATTCTAAAAAGAGAAAAAAAAGGGTGATTTAGATTCATTTTTATTATTTTTGGTGGTTATGAGTTTGGTCAAATTGACCAACATTGTATAGAGTTAGGGTAGAGTAAATAACAGATAAGATATAAAGTTTTAATGAAAACAAACATATGAAATGTACTTAGGAGGTTTCAGAGAATACACAAATCAAATCTGAGATTTTTGAGATGAATAAATGTATTTTTAATCTTAACAGGAAAATCACTTTGCACACGGACTATTCAAAACAAATAATCGATATATTTCCGGACAAATCTTTAGTAAAAATATTTCATTAAAAAACTGATTTTTTGTGTACAAAATACTTGTAATATGTTCTAAAAGTCTACCAAATTTTGTGAACATACACACACACTGTATTAAAAGTTATAGTATTAAAACTATATACAAGTAAAAATGGTCCTTGGGACTGGCCCCTATTGAGAAGGTTAATGAATTCTGT